GCGGGGAGGGGGCAGGATGGGTGGAGGGAGGGTAATTGGTGGGACCACACCTTTGGTGCATCTTACTAGGGTACATGTGAAATTTACTAGGCGTAGAATATAAATGTCTTTTTTTTTGAATATAAATATCTTAACACAATAACTAAGAAAAGACTGTGAAGGCTATGTTGACCAGTTTGATGAAAGCATTTCAAATTGTATGTAAAACCAGCTCATTGTACCTCATGATTGCATTAATGTACACAGCTATGATCTAATAAAAAAAAATTTAAGAAAAGGTCTTCCTTGAGGCCCTTGACTGATTTCTCGCTCCCTTAGTGATCCTTAAAGCAGGATACCTGCCTTGAAGACATGAGAAGCTAGAGAAGGAGAAGCCAAGTTTTATCAAAATGACAGCTTAGGGGCTCAGCGCCTATAGCTCAACCGGCTAAGGCGCCAGCCAGGTACACCTAAGGTGGCGGGTTCGAATCCCCAGCCCAGACCCACCAAACAACAATGATGGCTGCAACCAAAAAATAGTCCTGCGTTGTGGCGGGCGCCTGTGGTCCCAGCTACTTGGGAGGCTGAGGCAGGAGACTCGCTTGAGCCCAGGAGTTGGAGGTTGCTGTGAGCTGTAATGCCACAGCACTCTACCCAGGGGGACAGCTTGAGGCTCTGTCTCAAAAAAAAAAAAAAAAAAAAGACAGCTTAGGAAGGTTTTACTGGGCAGACCCTGGGACTTCTTCCAAGGGCACATTAGCAACAATCCCTGCCCCCCCTCTTTTATCCAGTTCTAAGGTTTACTTTTCCCTCTTCTATTGAGTCTAATGAGATCCCCTCTGCCCTAAGTGTCACGAGGGTCCCCTCCCTTGCTCACCCCAAGGCGACTCTCAGAGGGGCTCCCTTACAAGTTATATGTGCTGAGGAACTGGCTGCTCAGGGTCGCCTCCTCCCTTCCCGCAGGGCAGCCCTTACTCAGCCACAGGCTTTAAAAACATTCCCAGGCCTGTAGACGTCATGTTTACATCATCCTGTAGCTTTGTGTGTACACAAGTCTAGCACACTGTACTGCCTGCCAGGCACAGAATTTCCTGTCTGGGTCCACCACAGACTGTATACTTCTTGGCAGTTTCTTCATCAGGTACACACGTTCCAGGCAAAGTACTTTGTACTTTGTTATTGCTTAACAAATGTGCAGTGAATGGTAACTTATGATGTCTGAACCTACAGAGAAAAATATTCCAGAGAGGAGCTAAATGAAGGTGAAGGGAGGGTGGGGAAGAGGTGCAGAACTGGGGCCTGGGGCCAGCTTCTCTTGTGCCATCATGGAGACTGCGACTGGCCTGGAACGAGGCAGCAGCCGCCAGTTCACACAAGGCTGCAGAGCTCCGTCCTTGGGGGAAAGAGTCCTTCTCCCTGCTTTCCCTCTTTATACATGTTCGGGCACGGATGTGTGTGTGTGTGTTTAAGATGGAACAGGTGGTGCAAATGCAGGCTTGGGACTGAGGGAGAGAAGTTAGTTTTGGCCGCTTATTCCAAAGTGTGAAGAAGAAGGTTTGAATTCTCGGTGGATTCAATGGGGTCTAGATACTAGGTCTGTGGTAGGACAGTCTTCTTGGCAAGGTGGCAAAATCTAAGATGAATGCTACACCCAGATCAAAAAGGGTAAAAGACATAACTGGTGTTTTCAGGGTTAAATTCTCCCTCCTCCATGGAGCCTTCCAGATTTGTATGGTCTACTCAGATCCCTCCATCATAGATGATCCGACGGCATTTACTATGTGGCGCTGATCAGTTCAGCCCTTGAATATAGCATCTTGCTATGTTGGTTAGTTTCTTTAAAAATATAACCCCTGTCTTCCATTTCCTTCCAATCTCATCTCGTCCACTGCTTTGCCTCTTGCGACATGAAATAGTGCTGAACAAGGGAGAAACTGAGTAACTGTTCATTGTTTTACTTTCAAATTAGACCCCTTTAAGGACTTGGTACTACAGGGTGCTGGGCTTTAGAGGTATAGGAAATTAATTTGGGGGAGTCATCTCCAAAGACCTAATGTGCAAATCTTAACAGAGCTTGCCTCTCTCCGGTGGCCTCGGAAACTCGAAGCAGATCAACAGACTTTTTAAGAAATAAACCACAAGTAGCTTAAAAAACACGAAAGTTCAAATTGCATCCGGTGTAACCCTGGGAGAGAATTTCTGCAGCAGCAGAAGTCTGTTATTTTTGACCTGAACTGCAGGATTCTGCAATAATATGGGGGCTGCAAAAATGCTTCTAATCTCACTGACAAAGTTATGTTCTTATCCATAAATCATATCTGAAAGGAGAGGAACCAACAGCACAGAAAAAATTTCTCCAGCTGTCATCCGCCGACAGTATATGCATACGTGTATGTATGTAAGTCAAAACAATGGGTTAGTATGATGGAAACATCATCTCTGTTTTAACTGTTGTTTCTTCCTTAGTTGATGTGCATTATTTTAAAAACACAGCACAGAGGTAGCTTTTAACTGCCTCCCCTCCCCCACGCCTCTGGCATTATTCATATTGAAGTTTTCAACCCTCAGAAGCGCTTTTTAACTACAGCTCTCATCATTAGTGTTTCTGCTGCCTAAGCAGGAAAAATGGGGATGCAGCTTAGCAAGAGGCTTAGGAAAACATAAAATACGGAGGGTAATAGATCTGTTTTTCAAATAGTTTTCCTGTGTAATGAGCATCCTGAAGATTTTTTTTTCAATTAAAATATTTTCACATATTTCAGAACGAGTAACCCAAGAAGCCTGTGTTGGGACTATCTGCGTTTCTTGAGCTGTGTGAACTCTGGGCTCACTGGCCTTGCTTCAGGTCTTGCCCTGCTGAGCTTCCCCTGGCTACCTCGGTCTCCCCTTGGCCTTCACAGGGCGGCGTCTACTCCTGATTTTGTGTCTAGGGTCCAGACTGGCCTTTTCAGCTCCCTGAAAGACATTTCAGAAATGTCCTGTTGATAGTTTGAACTCAACAAGCCTCAAGGTAGCACCCCCAAGACATACTTGTTTTATACGTTGTGACATCCACCACCTCCGTCAATTTTGACTTGTTTTTCTGTCTCCTATAATCAATGGCTGTCACTTCCTACTGATTCTGACTTTGAAATATCCAGCATTCTTTTTCACATGTTTGTTTCTATTTCTGTGGGCCTTGTTGAAGGTCAACCCTCTCTGGTTTGCCTGGACCATGACAACAAACATCTGCTTAGCTGGTCTCCCTGGGCTGCCACTGAATCCCTCCTGAGAGCAGCCTTCAGGCTGCCCCCAGAGAGCTCTTCCTAAATAGTGACTTGGGTGATGCCCCTGTCCTACTAAAAAACTTGCGGTGAGTCCCAGCTGCCTACTGAATCTGTTTCCAACCTAACTCTTCAGCCTCGTTTTCTATAACTCCCTGCCCCTCTCCACTCTGAATTCCAAGGACAACTCACTTTTGCTCCATGAGACGTCCACTTTCACCCTGCTATGCCTTTGCTTGGGTTGTTCTACCCTGAGATCCTCTCGCAAGACACCACGTAAAGTTCTGTGCTTTCTTTGTGCCCTCACTCCTGCCTGCCCCAGGCATCCCTTTCTTTTGAGTTAACAACAACAACAACAAACTCTTTTGGTAGGCTTTATTGGGGAATTTACTTACATTTCTGTTCCTCTTCCATATTAAACTTGAACTTATACAGGGCAGAGATATCGTTTATATTTGTATATTTTTTAAAGACTCAAGTTAATGATGGGCCTATACTGTAAGTACTCAAGGCACTCTTCTTGTTGAATAAATGAATTGTTGCTTTCTTTGTGCATCTTTATTTGATCCCCTGAAAGCAAAATTATTTTCTTTGGTATTAATTGTAACATTTTGTATTTGTCTTCAAGTTTTCCTCTTTATATTTGTATCCAGCAGTTTTCCATGATGTGTGTTGGTGTATTTTTCTTTGTATTCATCCTCTCAGGCCTTGACAGACTTCTTTATTAATTTACTTATTTTTTTGAGACAGAGTCTTACTTTGTCACCCTTAGTAGAGTGCTGTGGCATCACAGCTCACAACAACCTCAAACTCTTGGGCTTACGTGATTCTCTTGTCTCAGCCTCCCAAGTAGTGGGGACTACAAGTGCCTGCCACAATGTCTGGCTATTTTTTTGTTGCAGTTGTCATTGTTGTTTAGCAGGCCCAGGTCAGGCTCAAACCCACCAGCCTCAGTGTATGTGGCCAGTGCCATAACCACTGAGCTACAGGTGCCTCCTTGAGGGAATTCACAAATCTACAGCTTGATGTCTTGTGAGCTTTAAAAATTCTTAGTTATTATTTCTTCTCATATTGCTCTGCCCCTTTCTTTTCCTCCTCTTCTTTCAGGACTCTAATTACATATATGGCAGATTTTTTTTTTTTTTTTTAACTTGGTTTCAAATGTCTACTGCAGTTTTTTCCATTCTTTTTCTCTGTGCTTCACTCTGGATAATTTCCATTGTCCTATCTTCCAGATGGCTAGTTCCTTTTCCAGCTATGTCTAATCTTCTGTTAATCTATTTATTGAGTTGTCTTACTTTATAGTATCAGTTTAGAACTTCCATTTGATTATTTTTTTTATAGATTCAAATTTGCTGGTAAACTTTTTTTGTCTCATTATCTATTTTATTAATGTATCAATCACAAATATTTTAAAGTATTTGACTTCTTGCTCTTTGGATCTGGAGGGTCTGTTTCTATTATCTTTTTTCATTTAAATCTCTTTGTTATGTCTCTTGGTATGTCTGTTAACATTTATTATTATTATTATTTTTGAGACTGAGTCTTACTCTGTTGCCCTGTATAGAATGCCATGATCTCATTGTAGGTCACAGCAACCTTGAACTCTTAGGTTCAAATGATCCTCTACCCTCAGCCTCCCAAGTAGCTGGAACTACAGACACCGACCACAAAGCCAGGCTAATTTTTCTATTTTTGATAGAGATGAGGTTTCTCTCTTGCTCAGGCTGGTCTCAAACTCCTGAGCTCAAGTAATCCAAAAATATAAAATACTTCATGAATTTGCATATCATCCTTTTGCAGGAACAATGCTAATCTTTTCTATATCCTTCCAATTTTAGTATATATGCTGCTGAAGCCAGCACTGTATGTTAACATTTGATCGCATACCAAACATGAATAAAAAATTAGAGAGATTATGGGTGATGATTTCTTCTTCTAGAGAGAATTTTTAAAATATGCCAGTACTGTGACACTGCTACTAGTCCCGCCCAGCTTCTTCCAGTTGTAGGAACCGCTCTCTGCCTCTCTGTAGGTGCTTCTTATGAAACAGTAAACACTTGAGAAGGAAAAGTGTTGCCCAGATTGCTGGGCTCACCACCTGCTGCCCTTCTCTCCTGCATCTTGGCCCTTTACGTCCTGACTGTCTTGTTGGTCCTGAGCTCCAGTTTTTGTCTCCCTAGCCCTGTGAGGTGGTGAAAGCTTCGCTCAGCTTTTTGTTTTTTCCCCCTTTTAACAGCTGCTTTCTGCTTGGCTTCTCAGCCCTCCCACATGCACAGCACATGAATCAGAAGATGCTCGGAGTGGAACGCTGGGCTCACCTCAATGAGTTTCTCTTCACTCTCGCTCTGGACCCTGAAAATCCTGGCTGCCTTGAGAGTTTCCAGTGTCTTCAAACAGATTTTTTTTTTTTTTTTGCATTTTATTACACCTTTGTTCAGGGGGATGATGGCTCTATTATAAGGTAGTTTGCCATTGTGGGAGTCACTGTATTCCTCTAGTGTAGTACTTTCTTCTATAAATTTTCAGATGTGTTTCTTTTCTCCATTTGTGAGTTCCTTGAGAGGAAGAACAGAAATTTATTCCATTTATCTCTTGCTAAATGACAATTCATTCATTAATTCATTCAATGTATTTTTTGAGCACTTACTTTGGGCCAAGTGTTGAGGCAGAGCAGTTATTGGGCATGTCCCATGGTATAGGGGCCATACAACAGTCAGCCTATCAAATATCGAAATAGTGTTAGATGCAAGATTAAAATAGAATGCCAGGTAGTAGATGGGTAGCTACTAAAAACACTCTCTAAGTGGGTAACCATTAAGTTGAGATCTGAACGACAAGAGAAAGTCAGCCATGAACGAGATCTGAGTAATTCTTGGCAGGGGTAGGAGCAAAGGTAGATTGCTAAAGTGGATTAATTAAGTGAGTTTCTAAATGAAAATTTCAACATAAGCTTTTTTTTTCTTTTTAAGAGAGCATTATACATTTCAAAACATTTTAAATCTTTGTTAAATAATTGTCTGTGGGTTTTGCGTGTGTGCTATGTATAAGAAACTTTAACTGATTTAGGACTCATAGATATTACTTATGGCTCCTGGAAAGCTTACAATATCTGCAATAGAGATAACTTCTCACAGGAGGGCCCCTCACTCACCTGGGTGGTAGAGCTGAATAGAAACAACATTGTCTTTTCCTTAGCTTCGAGACTATATATATGTGTATATGCAAACATGCTATTTTTTTTTTTTTTTTTTTTTTTTTTAGAGACAGGGTCTTGCTCTGTTGCCTGTGAAAGAGTGCAGTGGTGTCATCACAGCTCACTGCAAGCATGCTGTTTTTGTTTTAAAATGACATTAATAATTATGATTTACATAAAATTATTGTATTTTTACCATGGCTCTGTTATCTGTTAGAGTCTTAGCAAAAGACAAAACAATCTGTATAGGCTTGGTGCCTATAGCTCAGTGGCTAGGGTGCCAGCCACATACACTGGAGCTGGCAGGTTTGAATCCAGCCTGGGCCTGCCAAAAAAAAAACAAAACCAAAAAACAGCCAGATATTGTGGCAGGTGCCTGTAGTTGCAGCTACTTGGGAGGCTGAGGTAAGAGAATTGCTTAAGCCCATGAGTTTGAGGTTGCTGTGAGCTGTCACACCACGGTACTCTACCCAGGACAAAAGCTTGAGACATTGTCTCAAAAACAAACAAACAAAAGGCTGAAGAAACCAATCTATATAGTTCAAGAGATTGCAAGGAAGAGGCTCCTTCTAGGGATGTAGAGAGAGGATTAAAGGAACAAGCAAGGTTGATGAGGCTCCCAGAGGCCAGGAGGGAGCCATTACCACTCTAGGCCTGAGGGAACAAAGCATTGCAGAGCGCATTACTTCAGTCCAAGTGAGAGCTGAAGTCAGGCAGGGATGAAGCTGCTGCCAGAAAACATGGCCCAGAGCAGGAGGGAGCAGGGAAGAAATTCCCTGTCTTCTCTTCCTGCTGCCTTACCTTGAGGTGCCTCCCTGGGCTGGGCACAACCAGGAGGCCACTGGCAGCTGAGCTGGGTTGAGGTCCACAGGGTTCAGTCTCCAGGTCTCAAAGCTGCACTGAGAAGGGCAAAGAATGGACCTGGGGGGAGGAAGCAAATCAACAACATCACGTAGGGGCTCTGCTGAAATAACAAGCAGTGATTAATCTGAAAAGGTTTACAGGCTTCTTCTGGAGCTCCAGCCTCTCTGGAACTTATGCCATATAAGGTATCTTTCCCACACCAAGGATCGAGAATCTAAAAGGTTTTCAGTCACTCATTGTATCTTTAAAGACAGGAAATTATTTTGAAGAAACATGGAATTAATTTGGGAGAATACAGGGACTTGAGAATATGTGGAGTTTTAGAGAGATGTTTTGAGGTAGAGACTAGCGTTGGTGCTGGTAGGAGGAAGAGACAGACAAGGAGCAATACTGGGGACAAAGATGTAGGTCAGGGAAGGGGCCTGGAGGGGGACATGAAATTCTCTTTAGTTAATTTTTTTGGAGACGGTTCTCATTCTGTTGCCTGGGCTAGAATGTAGTGGTATCATTATGGCTCTCTGCAGCCTCAAAGTCCTGGGCTCAAGTGATCTTCCTGCTTCAACCTCCTGGGTAACTGAGTCTATAAGTATGTGCCACCATGCCCAGCTAATTTTTATATTTCTTGGAGAGATTGGGGGGGGGAGGGGCAGTTCTTTTCATGTTGATAGGGCTGGTCTAGAACTCTTAGCCTCAAGTGATTCTCCTAAAGTGCTGAGATTACAGGTGTGAGTCTCTGTGCCTGGCCCAGCATTCTTGATGTAAAACCATTAATACCCAAAAGACTCCTTTAAATCTACCTGTGAACAAAGGGTTCATGATAATGAAGCCATCCTATGACATTTTTAACTAGCAAAATCTTGGAATTTTATTGCCCAGAATGCACAAAGGTGCCCATGCATCGTTGTCTACATAGCCACATACACAAAACGTGTGTCCCCAGGCCTAGAGAGCTCATGTAACTAGGCTAAATTTCATTTAGCCTGTATCTAATATTTCCCCCTGAAATATCTCAAACTTAACCTTCCTTATCTCTACATTCGAATGTATTATACACTTCCAGTCAATTTTTTCTTTGTTCATCTGTCATATTCCCCTTGTTTCCTTTTTCCACATGGAAAATAGGATAATTCTTAGCTGGGAAAGGGCAATGGGCTGAAATCTATGGTTCAAATGACATGCACTATTTTGTCACATGAGAACTTGCAATGCTTTATGTGACATATTACTTTTTTCAAAAGCTTTGTTAGTATTTATCATTTGAAGTACTTTATACATTTTAACTCAGTAAATCTCATGCAACAAGGTGAAGTAGGTATTATTAGCCTGCTCATTATACATGTGGAGAAACTGAGATGAATGGCTGGAGGGACAGAGGCAAGGCCATGCAGGATTCAACCCTAGGGGGTCTGGCTCCCGGGTCTGTGGGCTAGACCATGGTGCCTGGCTGTTTGCATTCAGTGGAGACTTGCATTTATAATCATTCTGCTGCTGTGGGATTCAGATGTTCATATTATAAATTTCAGGGCCTACTAAATATTTAAACCAACATTTTCAAAAGTGCCCCAGTTATAAGTCCTCACCTTGATTAGAATAGTACCATAAAAGAATTTATTACTCTTTCTTTGGGAGAATAAAAGGGAAAGATCAAATCTAGCCCTTCTCAAAGTATGTTTGCTATAGAACTGGCACCCAAGGATATTCTCTGTAAAAACGTTTCCATCCTAGCTATATGTATATATTTGAGATTCATAATACTTATTAAAGGTCCTGAAAAGTCCTTCAGTAAAGACACTTGTTTAACTTTTTCAGCCTAGGGTTTATCAAGTTAAATTGCCCAAAAAACACTAACATACTGTAGACCAGTGTTGTACAATTTTGAAGTAGTTTCTTCAAATCCAAGCATAGGCTTTGAGATATCTTGAAGGCAAGTGAAAAGTGGAGAGGGGCTGAACAAACAACCTAGACGTCATCTTTCTGTCATTTTTGTCTAAATTCCCTTTTAAGCTCTGAGTCTACAGTAACCAGCTCCACGGGTCTTTCACACTATTGAATATCATTGTCTTTACTGGATTTCCCGCTGATCTTAGGCAGCTTGGCAAGTGAGGCTGGACGTGTAGTGGTGAGCTCACTTGCCCTTGTGGGGTGTGTGTAGATGTCTCCTCATATGGCCCTGCTTTGTGTGACATTTTAGAGTGATTTCAGAATGCTCAAAAAGGGCAGATTCTAAATCCAGATCTGGTGAGAAACGCTGTTACTTATCTGAGAAGAACAGCCTTGGGGTGTGCACACATATGTGAAAAGAGATCTTTTAAAAACACAGAAATACGAGAGGGATGGAGAGAAAAAAAGAGAGAGATTGGAGTTGAAGATTAATGTGGAGATTTATTATTTATGGAAGGCTTTGTAGTCATCATAATCACTCCATGCTCTAATATCTGGGCTGGGGTTCCCAACCACATTCTAAGTATATGGTAAAAAAGCATTGTATTTTCTTTCCCCCATCATAGCATTTTTTCTTCCTCTCTCACCCTCTCCCCCTCCCTTCGCTTCTAGCTCTCCCCTCCCTCCTGCTCCCTCCCTCCCTCCCTCCCTCTTTCTCCTCCTCCCCCTCCCTCCCTCCCTCTTTCTCCTCCTCCTGCTCCCTCCCTCCTCTTCCCTCCCTCCCTCTTTATCCTCCTCCTCCTCCCTCCCTCCCTCCCTCTTTCTTCTCCTCCTGCTCCCTCCCTCCCTCTCTTTCCTCCTCCCTCATCCTCCCTCTCCTTCTCTTTCCCTTCCCTCTCTCTCCTTCCTTCCCTCTCTCTCCTT